AGCTTGCCAACTCTTGCTTAAATCTTAGCTAATTATTCTTTCATTTATGATTCTATTATGAAGCTCATTAAGAAACTCATTCATTAAATTAGCATATTATCCTGAACTCTTCCTTTCTTGTGAAGTGACATAGTGCTATTATGAATTTATTCCTAGATTATAGACAAAGGTTAAATACCTTGCCTCATTATTGGGATAAAATGGAAAAAATAAAACATTGAATATTGTTGAGAAAGCTGTGGATAGTCTGGCAGGTACTCAACAGGCATTTAAATACAGTCTTTCTTGAAAAGATAAAACTCAAACTATCTAGTTCCAAGAAATACAGTAACCCTGACAAATTTCACCTTAGAGTGTCTGTTGCACCCTGGTACACCGAGCCAGGATGGAAGCGGGGGTGACGCGACCCAGGATTTGTTGTTGCTAACACCGTGAGTGTGCGTGCGTGTCTGTGGCTGGTGTGCCCTGGAGGGTGTGCCCCTTGCACCAGGCTTTGGTGAGGAGGGGGCACGATCGCTAAGCCACTAAGCTTCTATCAGTGTCCCTTTTCTAGTCTGGTTTCCGACAGCAGTTTTTCATTTAAATATGGTTTCAAAAAGCCTGGTGACTCTCGATTCTATGTCATCACTTCCCACTTGTCAGTCTGTCCACTGGAAATTCTATAAAGGTGCTCCGTAAACCTATTCGTTCTATGTTTTCCTCTCAAAACTTTTAAAGGTTAGCGTCACTGTTTAGGGTCCCTTCTACTTTTGTGTGATTCCCAGGAGTATGTGGTCCATCCCTTCCCCATAACATCCAGCCTTGAAACTCTGGCTTTGGAGCTGGCTTCTTTCCTCGTGTCCTCAGATGAGCTCTACACACATTTTGTTTGTCCTCTCCGAGTCGGGCTTTTCCAGACACACTGGCCTGTAGGGATGCTAACGGTGGTTTAGATATACTTGTCTGGAGAATCACAAATGAGGAAACATCATTTCTGCCCTCAACCATCCCAGGCTCTCCCGATGTACAACGTGTGTCTAGTAGAACGTAGCTTTACCCCCATTTGAAGTGAAGTGTGCTGTGTACGCAAATATTGAGAGAATATGTGCTACTTTGTGACCCGAGTGAGCTTTTTGAAAGCTCACTCCTTGATATTATGGGGTGCGTTTTCTGTACCACATATTTGTAATCTTCTTTTGCTTTTCTCAGGATGGGGTATTACACAAGAAAAAGTTCCTATTTCCATTTCTTTTCTCATATGAGTCTTTTCGAATGGAACACACTGCTTGTTTGCTCCCTTTGGGAGCCTGCCGGCCAGGAAGCACAGCCGACGTGCCACCCATTCCCTAGCGGGAGCCAGCTCACCTGCCACAGGTGTCCTCAGGCTCTGCTCTTGAGGCACAGCACACAGGAGAGCGATTTCCTTGAAATGCAGCCATTTACACCTTTGTTAAAAATGGAACACACTCTTCCCTTTTGTATACTCAGATGTTAGATTTTAAAACCAGTAATTACACTGAAAAAGAGTTAATGTTTGTAGTGAGTAAACACACAACTTCAACAAACCAGAAGTGACAAATGCTTTTAAAAAATAATGCTTTATGGGCAGCCCGGGTGGCTCAGCGGTTAAGCGCCGCCTTCAGCCCAGGGCCTGATCCTGGAGACCCTGGATCAAGTCCCACGTCAGGCTCCCTGCATGGAGCCTGCTTCTCCCTCTGCCTGTGTCTCTGCCCGCCCCCCCCCCCCGCCATGTCTCTCATGAATAAATAAAAAATCTTCTTTAAAAATTAAAAAATAAATAAAAATGATGATTTACTATGTACCAGTATCCTGAAAAAAATACTGGTACCTTCTTCTATGTTCTGCTTTTTTTTAACATGAGTCACTATAGAGATCTGGCCAGTTGGAAGACATGCTTTGTTTACAGAATCAAGTCCCTATCTGTGGGAAATCATCCGGCAGTTCAGAGGGTACCTGTTTTATTCATAGCTGGAGGCTCCAAGTAGCAGTGAGAGTTTAAGTGGCTCTGAGACGTGTTTTCAGGCCTAAGCTAGCCGACTATTTCTGTTTAAATAAACTCTGAGCTCTTTCAGTAATAGGAAACTCCAGATGACTGCTCCATGCGCCACGGTGTCCCTGGAAACCAGGCACTGCCGTGTGCTGTCGTGCGGTGGGCAGGAACAGATGCTCGGGATGTCTGCTGGTCTTGGGGCACAGCTGTTCCTTCCGGTCCCACACAGCATCTGACTCCTGACGTTAACATCCACCACTGAGTCTCAAAGCCTGGGGTAGAGCGAAGTGTGTCACTGTCACCATGTCTTCCAGCAATAGTAGTTGCCAGAAAGTTACTTTGTTTGTTACACACTGCTCTTTAAAGCATTTTTTGTTTTTTTTTCTTAACATAATATTTTTAAAAAGACGTTATGTCTTAAGTTGTGGCAATTGAAAGCATTCCGTCATCATGCTTAGCAAATGATTTCATTCTGAGATACCTGGATGTTCGGATTGGGTTAAGATTTATTAGTTAAAATTCTCCTTGTTATAAGTAAATAAATAAATAAATAAAAATGAGTAAATAAATAAATAAAAGTTAAATTCTCCTTGAAGAGAAAAAACTCCCCCTTGATACTGAGATACACATTGTGACACGTCTTAGATCACCTCTTCTCATGTCTGGAGATGGTGCAGTTTGTGAGTCAGCTGTGGATCACGGATAATAGAAGGTAAAACCAGTATTTGCCAGTGTCTGGTGTCCAAGGCAGTCTGAACAAGTGTCAGGAATTGTACATCAGGCACTTGTTCCCCGTGATGATGTCATGACCAGGAGTCGGGGTGGGAACAAATCTCTCCAACCTTCCCGCTGCCAGAGCACAAGCATGCTGCCACCAAGTAGCTGGACACCAGGGTTGTCCTGGAGAAGCCTGTGGTTCCACAGGAAAGGGTGGGTTTTTGCTTGGGAGGTTTTAACATCTGTTGCTGTAGGACAAAAATCATGGTGGCCCCTGGAGTTATAAGATTCTTAACCCAGCTCAGCTTAGGATGCTGGAAGTTTCTCTTTCTCAGTTTTTGGACTACAGTGTTCAGTTTTAAATTTTAAGATTAGGAGAATCACCTTTGCCGTTTATTAAAAAGTAACCTGAACAGATCCTCTTGACCTCTTTGAACCTGCCCTCCCCCACTCTTCCCCTCACAGAACAGCATAGGATGTAAACTTATAGAACTTTTAGGTTTGTATCTGCTTTTGTTTTCAAATCCTGAACATACAGCCTGCTTTCCTGCATTCTCACGTTGTTGGGAGGTTGTTTGCAGTAACTCTGTGGTTGCTGTGCGTGCCAGGTGTGCATCCTGGACGGATGCAGTACCGTGCACTTGCGACCAAACGCGTCTGTGGGAGGACTGTTGTACCGGTGAGCTCCCTGCACCCCAGGCCCTGCCTGTGACCCGGCTCCTGGAGCAGCTCGTGGTGTCGGGAAGTGGCCACGGGCCACGGGGGCACAGGTGCAGGGTAGGAAAGGGGAGCTCCGTGCTGCATGCTTAAGATACCAGGTGCAGTGTGTGTCGGGTACCAGGACGGGTGTGTCTGTGTTTGGAAGTGTGTAAGGAAGAGAGGTGCCGCAGAAAGCGTGCTCGCAGGTGGGGCGGGAGCGCGTGGACGGCCAGGCGCTGTGGGCACAGTCACGTCTGTGTCGGTGCCACTGTGGCCGGGGCATTTCCGTCCGTGTGGCGGTGGGAGATGCTGGGGTCAGCCCCCCTTCACCCAGGGGCCTCCCTAGCGGGGGGGGGGGGAGTGGAACACCGCTCTCCGCCACGGAAGGAGTCAGCCAGCTGTCATCCGTAGGCGAAAGCCTGCCGCCTTCCCTTCTGTACACTGCTGGCGACCACGGAACGTTTCTTGTGAACATCGTGCAGAACAGGCTGTTTGTCCCCACAGTCCTGTTTGGGTGACGCGCCAAGGCACGTGCCGTGAACCCGCTATGCAGAAGGCTTTGGGAACATTGCGCCTCAGCAGATCGTATCGGAAGCACACTTTGTGTCGGGTCCCGTGCTCCCGCAGATTTTGTAGAGCATTCAGCAAAGTCACAGCGCGTGGGGAATCTCTCACTGCTAGGACGTGCAGTCTTCGACGCCAACGTCATGAGCAGGGACAGCTTGCTTGGAGCAGGGGAGCGCCCTGCCCGGAGGAGCCGGCCCCGGGCCGGTGGGTTCTCTCGGATTCTCTCAGGGGTCTTCACGGAGGAGGGAGCCCTTTCGAATCTTTAAAACCAAGCTGTGGTTGTCCAACTGGAGCAGGTCAGTGGGAGTCCCTCCTGTAGGCGGCTGCCTGGCAGCGTCCCCGCGTGCTGGCGCCCAGCGTCCTGACCCCAGGGCAGCTCTCTCCTGTTTTGTTGTGTCTAAATTTACCAAGGTTAAAACAAATTCATTTTATTAACCTTCCCCCTCACCTTTTCCAGGACGCTGCTTTGAGGTTTATGCTTGTTCCTTATCCACACTTCAGGACAGAAATACCCATTATGACAGCTTTCCTTCCAGTTAGAGCAGAATGCCCACTAAACTAAACCCAGTGAAAAATGTGCATGAGCGTGAAGAGGCGGGTCGCTTCCTAGCTACAGCCGTGAGCATGTGCAGTTGCGGTGGATGCAGCAGCCCCCTTGAGTACACACCGAGTTCGTATTCACCACAACCCAGGCCTGCCGCCCGCTCAACCCAGCCAGGCTCCTGTCCCCTGCGTCCACACCTGTGGGCATCCCAGGCTGCTGCTCCTGTGGGGAGGGGGTCCTCTCATGGACCAAGCTGGGGGGCCCCTGATAGAAAGTACAGGGACCCGTGAAAGGTGGTGCTGGGGGTCCTCCGAGGGACGGTCCTGGGGGCTCTTGGGGGGACAATGCTAGGTTGTTGTCACATACATTCTCTTTTCTCTCTGATGGTAAATATCAGGCTATGTCTTTATTTTATATAAAATCCATTTGTGATTTAAATGAACTACTAAGAAGAATTCTTCTTTCTTTGTCACTTGATTGTAGTGTTTGTGGAAAAAGTGCTAAAGAGGCTTTTCCCTAGTCCCTGTGGCCAAGAGAAGAGTGGACCCGTGACTGCAGCTTCGGAGCAACCAGCCGAGCAAGCGGCCACTGTGGAGGTCACGGGCAGCAGTGTCCCCATGGTGCCAGGTGAGGGGCTTGCAGGTGTGGGGGGTCAGCGACAGATTCCTGGCGACAGTCACATTGCCCCGGAGCAGGCGGCTCTGGCCTGGCCGCGGCAGGCGCCAAGCTCCCTGGCTCTCGCAACCGGCAAGGCAGGGGTCCCTGACCTGTGCTCCAGCCCAGGGTGCACAGGGGGCAGAGAAGGCAGCAGTGCAGCCTCTGTCCCAGACCAGCTCAGGACTCTGCTGGGTGCTTGGGTTCACCAGCACGGCGCTCTCTGGCCCCGGAGACCACCACTGACCCTGCCGGCCTCGGCTTCCCATGCCGTGGCCACCCTGGCCCAGCCGCTGGCCCTGCCTTGGCTCTGTCCACACAGCACGGGCTCCTGACAACTGTCCTACTTTGGTCCCTAACGCACTGGTGTTTGGCAGAGGTCTGCCCAAGCTCCTCAGACAGGAAGGTGGTGGCCGTGGAAGCCTCATCAGCTGGCTCCCTGGCAGCATGGGGTCTCCTGCTGGCAAGGGGCCACTCTGCAGGGTTGGGGCACCAGCGAGCGTAGGACACATATGGGCAATGCCTGAGTCCCGTCCTTGGGCTTGTTTCTGGCTCTTCTGGCGTGAGTCTGCTCTGGACTTTGTTCCCATGCCACTATTCCCGGGCGCTGGCCTTTCCCCTGCCGTCCTCCCGATGCAGGGTCAGGACACAGCGACCACCCCTCGCCAGAGCCAGGGCGCACCGGGCAGCCACCGCTCGCTTTCTTTGGGGGCTTTGTCCCACATGCACAGTTCTCAGACCCACACTGGCCTTCGAATGCCTGTGGCCCAGGTTGTCACAGCAGGCATGTCCCTGAATGCCAGGCCGTGTAGACGCTGGTTCTGAGTCCCTGCTTGGCCCTGGCTTGGAGGAGGGAATTCTTAGTACCTGTGAGGAGTTACAAGGGTAGGCATGGCGTGGTGGAGTGGCGAGGACCAGTGGGACCAGGGGCTGTGTCCCATGAGGCAGGGAACAGAGGATGGCTTTCTCTGACCATTTGGTTATTTCACAGATGCTGGTGAATGAACCTAACTTCTGTGCTTTTGTGTGAAAAATCCATATAATGTACAGCAACTTGTTTTCTGAGAGAGAACAGCGAGCTTGTGGGGCAGAGCGGGAAAGAGAATCCCAAGCAGCCTCCCGAGCGAGCACGTAACCCCACATGGGGCTCAATCCCACGACCCTGAGATCATGACCTGAGCTGAAATCAGGAGTCGGACGCTTTACCAACTAAGCTACCCAGACGCCCCTAATTTCTTTTTTTTCGATAAAATTCACTTACCCTCAAGTTTACTGTTTTAGCCCTTTCAAAGCAGTGATTTTTAGTATATTCACAACACTGTGCAAACAGCACCACTAATTCCAGAATATAGTTATCATTCCAGAAACAACCCAGTGCCCGTGGGCAGCCACTCCCATCCCCGTCCCTACCTGCTGTCCTGGGGGTTTGCGTCTTCTGCACAGCCCACATGTGGACACCTACGCTACGTGGCCTTTGTGAGTGGCTGCCCTCACGTGGGCCCTGCACGTCGTATCTGGACCCCCTTCCTCCTTACCGCCCAATACCACTCCATTGGATGCATGGAGCTTGTTTGTGTATTCATTGCTCAATGGATGGATGTTTGGCGGGTTTCTCCTTTTTGGCTGTAACCCGAGAGAATGCACGTGCAAGTGTGTGGACATGTGTTCTCACTTCGGGGAGTGCGCCTCCTGGGCCCCATGGTAGTTCTGAGGGACCACCCCCCATGACACTCCTGCAGTGGCTCGGGGGCTCCAGCCCCCCACACCTTCCCGCATGTGCTACTCTGTTTTCTTGTTGGCGGCGGTCCTGGAGGGTGTGCGGCTGTACCTCACTGTAGCCCTGGTTTTTATTTTCCTGACGACTGAGCATGTGGAGCATCTTCTCCTGTGTATGTGCAGAGAAATGTGTGTAAGCAGATACTTTCTTCCATCATGGGTTGTCTCTCTACTTCCTTGATGTGTCTGGAAACACAAAAGCTTTCAAGATTGATCGCGTCCAGTATATCTAGTTTTTCTTCTGTTGCCTGTGGTTTGGGTGTTATCATTAAGAAACCATCGTCAAGGAAAGCCTGGGTGGCTCAGCAGTTGGGCGCCTGCCTTTGGCCCAGGGCGTGACCCTGGGGTCCTGGGATCGAGTCCCGTGTTGGGCCTGCATGGAGCCTGCTTCTCCCTCTGCCTGTGTCTTTGCCTCTCTCTTGGTGTCTCTCATGAATAAATAATTAAAATCTTAAAAAAAAAAAAAAAGAAACAAACAAACAAACCATCATCAAATCTAAGGTCCCAGATTTTACATCCAGGTTTTCTGGGAATTTTACAGTTTTACCTCTGACATTTAAGTCATTGATGCCAATAGGCTTAACAGTGTGTGGTGTGAGGCAGGGGTTCAGCTGCAGCCTCGGCTCTGCAGTGTTCACGGAGGAGATAGCATTTCCCGCTGAATCACCCTGTCACCCCTGTTAGAAATCAGTTGACTGTACACTTCTGGGTTTATTTCCGGGCTTTCAGTTCTAGTCTGTTGGTCTGTGTGTCTGTCCTGTGCCAGGATCACACGGTATTAATTACACCTTGATAGTAAGCGTGGAAGTGAGGAGGCAAGAGTCTTACAACGTTGTTCTTTTTCAAGACCATTTTAGTTGTCAGGGTACCTTGCAATTCCATCTTTAGTTTCTTTCAACAATATTTTATAGATTTTACTATAAATTTTACACTTAAAGGTTTATTTTGAAGTATTTTATTCTTTTTAATACTGTCGTTAAGTGGAATTACTCTCTTTCTTTGGTTTCTTTTTGGAATGCTCATCACTGGTGTGTGGACAGGCACATGAGTCCTCTGACCTTGGATTCAGCAATTATTTCCTAAATATAGGAATTCAGATTTCTCTGTCCTAGTCTTGTATCCTACAGTGTTGCCGAATGCGCTGCTGTGACAGTTCTGTGTGCGCACGCATGTGCCGTTACACAAGATCATGTCGCCTGTGGCTGCAGACGGTTTGCTTCTTCCCATTCAATCTGAATGCCTTTTCTTTCTTTCTTTTTTCCTTTTTTACTTCCTGGAAGGTCAGTGTACCATTGAGGGGAAGTAGCAAGGGTGGAAATGCTGGTGTCCTTGTGGTCTTGGGGGAGGACCCAAGCTCTCCCTCTGCACAGGTATCCTCAGGGGGCTTTGCACACATGCTGTTTGACAAGATGACACTCCCTCTTAATCTAGGGTGTTCAGTGCTTTTTTTTTTTTTTTTTTTTTTTTTAAATCATGAAAGAGCTCTGGTGTTGATGCCGCTCTGATCCTCCATCCCTTTGGAGATAGCCCATTGTCACCACCACCACCACCCCTCCCCCTGGACCACTCTGGCTTTTCCCTTCTGACCCCAGAGAACAGAGACAGAGCACAGATGTTTTACAATAAGGATCTGTTTCTGTCCACTGCACTGGGTGGCCCACGGCAGATAGGCTGGAAACACGGTGCAGCACCGTGTCCCTGCTCATGCTGCCCTGGAATCCCTGTTGCTGGGCTTTGGGGCTCCTGAGAGATCACCTCATTTCCTCTCCTCTTATTTTTCTGTCTTTATCATCTTGGTCTGCTTTCTGGGCAGTTTCTCAACTTTATTGTCACATTCTGTGCTTACTTCTCATTCTGTTCTGCTGTCTCAGCCTTTGGGGGAGTCAGAGGACTCCACTCATTGGCAGGTGGCCCCTCTCTGACTCGGTCTCCCCACACACCCAGGGCTAGCCCTCCTGCCTGCGTGCTCAGCCAGCAGCCGCTTGCCAGGGCCTCCAGCTCTGGAGCCACACTCTGTGTGATGGGCCCTGCTGTGATTTCAGGCTCAGCCTCCTGGACACCCTCAGGTCTGCTCCTAGCTTCCAGAATGGCACTGCTCTGTCCACCCTCCTCCAGGTGAGGTTCAGGGAGGGCAGGGGCCACGGAGGCCTCTATGGAGTCCTGCGTTTCTGGCCTCTGATGCAGATGAGCAGGTCGTGGGCTGCGTGAGTGGAATCTGCCCCTGCGCTCAGGGTCTGAGCTCCGTGATCACTGCTCTGAGGAACTGCCCAGGTGCCCTGTGGGACGTCTTGACTCAGCCGCTCTTCTCCTGTTTGTAAAGGAGGGCCCAGTGGGGGTAGACACCACTTCCGTGTACCCACCAAGGGTGACTGGGAATACTGGTCTCCTGGAAAGAGAGTGAATTATTCTAAGGACGGGTAACACATCTCTTTGCAAGTCAGACATTTGACATTCCTTTGCTTTTAGCAAAACTGAGGGAAATAATTGAGTTGTCAGCCAAAAGATCATTAAAAGTAAATTTGTTTGATGATGGGTTTCTCTGTGACTTTTGGCACATGATTTAGAAAAAATTTAGTGAATCAGGTAATACTGCTATTTTTAAAAAGCCACTGTCATCTACCTATTTTTGTGTTCAAACTTTCTGACCAGCTACCTCTGTAAAAATGCAAAATAGTAATAGCATTCCAACAAAGCCCTGTCTGGTTTTAGCAGGGACATGTGTCCTTCCACACTCCTTCCCTCTCAGCAGGAAAATCGTTGCCAAAAGGACTTGCCTCTGTGTTGGGAAATCATCAAAAGCAGTAACTGTTACTTTGATCCATTGCCTTCCATCAGTTGTAATAACTTAGAAAAATATTTACATTTAGCATCATTGAAATTTTTTAAAGAATACAGTTTGAGAAGTGTGATATGGTGTAATTATTATTTCAGGACAGACTTGTAGGGGAGTTGGACCCCCAGAGGAGAAAAGGATAATGAGCCAGTGCTAGTTCAGCAGATGCAGGTGCCCCTCATTGTGTGCTCCACATAAAGAGGGATGTCACACGCACAGCACAAGCAGGTCCTTGATACAGCAGCTCTAAAATGTGTGTATATGAGGCAGGCAGTTTAAATACATCATTTTAGGGAATACGTGTGCGGGAGCAAGTGCACACCCTGGGCAGGTGGGTGGACGGCGGTCAGGTAGGTTTGTGCCA